AGCAGTCTGATCACTTCCTATGGAAGTACAGTTCAAATCCAGTCATGTAACAATGTGTCAGCACAAAAAGCAGTGCCTTGAAGGAAACAACTTGTCTCCAGGTTGATGGTGTCTCCTTCCTAGGGAGCTGACAGCAGAAACAGTTCCAGCTGTGCCCCCAACACATGCCAGTCATGCAGATGCAAGTCTGGATTAACCTCAAGCTTTAAAAGACCAAAATAACAAGAGTTGTGGCACATCCAGAACCCCTAAAACTCTTCCTATGTTCACAAGCAGACATTCTTTAGCTTCAAAGTCAGGACAGACTTCAACATCAGTTATAAAAGAAGAGAAGGTTTTGTCCTCCTAGTTGCAGGTTTTCTGGTGTGTTTGATAATGTTTAAAAAAACAGAAGTTGAGCTATCAGTAATAGTTTTCTAGGCTTTGCAGAAATTTGTCTTTGTAAGGAGTCATGAGGAAGCAGCTAAAAACAAACCTCCAAGGGAAAAGGCAAAAAATTTAATCCCATCAAATGCCAACAGCCACTTTCCTTCCCTCTTCTTCCAAAATAAAATAAATAAAATAAAATAAACCTGCTTATAACTTCCAAAATCTGTCACGTAAACAATCTGCTTGTCCTCCACTCAGATTGAACACGACTGAAGGAACAAAATTTGATCTGACACTTGGCATGTAGCTTTCCAAAGGCACAGCAAGGATAATCAAAACCAGAAACAGCAGCATTTCTGGATGCAGGAAAGTCCTCGTTTTCCATGCTTATTCAACTCCAGAAGAGGGAAAGAACATATACAATCTCAAGTTACTAAACCAGCTCCCTAAGCTGATGAATGTCTTTACGCTGACTATCAGAGAGCTAAGTGCCACTGTAGAGCAAATTATGGTCTGGCACACAGCAGTCAAAAACCAGTCATTTTCTAGTCTTCATGAAAGCAGTACGGTTCTAGCACTTTGTTCTCTTCAGAACCTTCCCATCTCCCCATACTTTTTAATCTTCCCCAAAAGATGACCTGCAGCACTGCATGGGCACCAAAGCAATCAAAAATCCAAAACTGTTTTGGACATGTGCACTCTATCAGCACTGACTTCAGTAGAGCCATTGCTCTACTGAAACACTGATGTAAGCCAGACCTACTGAAGCCATTAACAGGAACAATATAGGTCCAGTTAGCTTCAGGAGAATGCTTTCTCTAAGATTTGGTTCAGTCATACAACTGTGGTTATCATCTCAAGCTCCATCTTTTTCAGTAGACTGGAAGAGCTCAAAAAATGCCAGCTTCATTGGATGATGCTGGTATAAACTTGCTTAGCGTGCTCTTGCTCACTTCCCCTCATTCAGAGATTACAGAAGATTGATGACACAGTCCTACAGCTCTTTGCAAAGCTGGCAGTATGCACAATTCAGAAGTGCAAGGTTACCACATGAAACCTTCCCAAGTAAATGCAAACCATATCTTAACACAATTCCCAAACCAAAAGAATCCTAATCCCAGGACTGCAGCATAAATACTCTTCCACAGGCACAGCTAAAGAAGAACAGTCCTACCGAACCCTGTCATCCCGAAACACAGCACCAGAGTACCTACACAATCTTCCTTTAAAATTCCTGGAGTGTCGAAACACCAGCGAGCATCCTTCACTTCATTGTGTGTGAACTCCTCCCTTTCCTCACGCTTCTTAGGGGAATGTTTGGGATCTTCATCCATGCTGTAGGAGAGCATGTCAGGATCAAAGTCAACCACAGGGCTAGCCTTTGGTCGTTGAAATGTTCTTCCAACTCTTCCTGGATTAAAATGAAAGGTTTCCTGGTAATTAAATTTATTAACTTGCCTTTCCCTCAATTGAACATCTGCCCCTTTCCTGGCTTAAAAGATGCGTATCAGTAACATAAAGGTGATAAAGACACTATGTGACTAGAAATTTCAAAAGCCAAATGATAAGAAATCCTTTCTATAATTCTTGTTTAGGATTCCTCAAGCCCCAAAATCTCAGCAGGGACCAGATCACAGACACTCCATTATTTCTGATTAATGGTAAAGCAAGCTGCCTTCTTTTTTCAGTGCCTCAGACTTCCAAACACAAAATTATTTGAAAAACAGAGCTATCTTCTGTAAGCTCCCTCTTTTGGGCACATACTGAAGTGATGTAGAACCACCATGGCCTGCACCCCAAAACGTGACTATTTAAAAATTAAACTTGTTTTCTTCCTTTAGGAATGCGAGGTGGCCCATAGTACGATGTCCTTGTAAACTACGAAGTTGTCAGAATTTGCCAACCTAGTTCAGAAGGGAGGTGCATTGCACAGAGGAAACCTCTGACGCGCTAGTACAGCAGCTAACAAGTAAGTACCCAAAAGAAGTGCTAATGATGCTGCTTTGTGGAGGAGATACTTTGCTGCTTTGTGGAGGAGGTCTTGCTCCTATTACTCTGGGAGCAAACAGCGGTCAAAATTAATTAAAAGCAAACTTGGAAATTTTTTACTACTTCTACAGACAACATGTTCTTCGAGTAATTAAATGGAAATAAATTCTTATCAGTGTGGGAAGGAATTACTTGCAAATAGCTGGATTCTACAGCAAACTAAGGAGTTACCAATTCTTTGTGTAATGCAATATACACAAAGAGTCTAATATTGAGTGGCAATACCATTACTCAGGCAATACTCACCCACTAAGTAGCCTTGCTTTTTAAGGTGATTAAGGTACTTTTTTTCTTCACTGCTTAGCTCATCTTCTGTTTTTCTTGCCTCCTCTTTCAGCCTCTCCTGCCTTCGGAATATTCTGTCACATGTAGGATTAATAATAGGAAATTTCAACAGGTTCAGTGTTGTTCCTGGAAAAAAAACCCAGAAGGTACCCTTGGGTCTCTTAACTAACTGGTACATTTAAGCTCTGATGAACAAGAAAAAAAAAATTGCTTCTCCAACTTTTTGGTGAAATGCAGTAACACAAAGGCAGAGGTTGAACTACAGCTGCTCCCATAAAGTACCAGCTTCTAAAGTCAGGGCAGCAAAAAGGAGCCATCCACCTGCCTGAGACCTGCTCTCACCTTTAGTTTGAATAGAAGGATCTCAAAGCCAAGTGGTGCTAAGACTGACTTAATACACTTCAGGCAAGTCTCATCTCCAGGCAGCTTGGTTTGGCCTACAGATGCTCATTAGTCCACCTCCTGGATTGTCTGAACTGGAGGACACCCCTAATTAATAGGAACAGGACAAGGTGTGTGGATCAGGCACCATCCCCACTGGCAAGGGAGTATGCAGGCCAACTCTGGTTTACTGGGCCCCTTAGTGCTCTGGGACGTGCAGCACTCTCAGCGCACACCTCCCACACCTGCTGCCCCGAGGAATGACAGAATCAACGAGGTTGGACGAAACCTCTGACATCATCAAGTCCAATCTATGACTGAAAACCAACAAGTAACTAGACTGTGGCACCGAGTGCCACATCCAGTCTTTCCCTGAACACCTCCAGGAACGGTGCCTCCACCATCCCCCTGCGCAGCCCATTCCAATGTCTAATCCCCCCTTCCATGAAGAAATTGGTCCTGATGTCCAACCTAAACCTCCCCTGGCACAGCTTAATACTATGTCCTCTTGTCCTGTCGCTGGTTGCCTGGGAGAAGAGACCAAGGCCCACCTGGCTACAACCTCCGTTCAGGTAGTTGTAGAGAGTGAGAAGGTCGTCCCCAAGCCTCCTCTTCTCCAAGTTAAGCAGCCCCAGCTCCCTCAGCCACACCCCAGAGGTGACAATCTAAAGCACGGCGCAGCTCAGGAGCTCGCTGCCCACCACAGGGGTGCTCGGGGTGGTGGGTTCCCGTCTGGTGACAGGTTCTCCTTACACAGGGATGGCCGAGGGCAGCCCAGAGACCCAGGGGCTCGCTGGGCCCGGGGAAGGAAGCGCGGCGTTCCCTGACCTGGCCAGGGGGACACGGTGGCCCTGTCGATGATGTCCGGGGCGCGGGACTTGCAGTAGTCGGAGCGCAGCAGGGTGTTGAAGAGCGTGGACTTGCCGGAGTTGGTGGCGCCCAGCAGGTACACGTCCCCGGCGCACTTCCAGGAGCGGTGCAGCCGGCTGACCAGCCCCTCCATGCCGAAGCCCGTCTTGGCGCTCACCAGCCGGATATCCACCAGCGCGGCGCCCGCCAGCCCGGCCCGGGCGCAGGCCTCCGCCACCCTCTTCCGCAGCCTCCCCAGGTGCCCGGGGGCGTCCGCGGGCAGCAGGTCCACCTTGTTGCCCACCACCAGCACTCCCGAGGCGGGCACGCCGGGGCCCAGCAGCGCCGGCACCTGCGGCAGCACCGGGTCGGGCAGCTCCAGCACGTCAAGCACGTAGAGCAGCAGCGGCCCGCGGCCGTGGCGGGGCGGCCGGCGCAGCGCCTCGCTCACCACCCGCCGGTGCTCGTCGGGCGGCAGCTGCAGCCGCAGGGCGCGCCCGTGGTGCGCCAGCGCCCAGCACCGCTGGCATACGGCGCCGCGCAGCCCCGCCGCGCCCTCCGACAGCAGGCTGAGATACTTCTCGGCCGGCATGAACCCCGGCGCGCCGCCGTCCGCGCACTGCAGCTCGGCACCGCAGCCCGAGCAGCTCACGCCGCTCGGTGGCACCGACGGGTCGGGCACGCCCGGGATCCCCGCCGCTGAGCCCCGAAGCCGCCGTTCCCTGCCCAGCTCCCGTTCCCACCGCGGCTCCCGTTCCCGCCGCGGCTCCCGCTCCCGCTGCGGCTGCGGCTCCGGTTCCCGCTCCCGCCGCGGCGCCGCCGCCGCCTCAGCCGGGTCCGGCTCGTACTCGAGGAACACGAAGCGCTCCTCCTCCTCCTCCCCGCCGCCCGCCACCGCCGGCCCCCCGCCCCGTCGCAGCCGCCGCACGGGAGCGCGGGGCTGTGCGCGGGCCAGGCGGGACAGGAGCGGCGGGAGCAGCCGGAGCATGGCCGGGACAGCGGGGACGGCGGGGCAGGACACGCGCTCCTGACGTCACGGCGCGCGCGGGCGCCTCGCGGGAGACGTCAGAGTGCGCGCAGCCGCCTTCCCGCCGCTCGCCGCCGCCATCGCGCTCCATTCTCGCCGTTCCTCTCGCCCCCCGCCCGGCCGCCGCTCGCGCCTCCGCCCGCCGCCACCATGTACGACGCGGACGAAGGTGAGGCCTTTCCCTCCCCCCTTTTTTTTTTTGGCCCCCCTCGCCTTTTTCTCCCGTCCGTCCCGGCAAGGCGGGCAGGGGCGGCGCGCGGGGCCTGCAGGAGCCGGGAGGCGCGGGGATGCTACGGGCGCGCTGGGATCTTCCGTAGGAGCCGGGAGTGGGGGGATAGGCCGGTCGCGGTGGGCTCTTCGGCGGGAGCCGGGCGGCCACAGAATCACAGAATCAATTAGGTTGGAAAAGACCTCTGAGATCATCGAGTCCAACCCTTGACCCAACACCACCTTGCCTACTAGACCATAGCACTAAGTGCCACATCCAGTCTCTTCTTAAACATCTCCAGGGACGGTGATTCCACCACCTCCCTAGGGAGCCCATTCCAGTGCCCAGTCACTCTCTCTGTAAAGAACTTCTTCCTCATGTCCAACCTAAACCTCCCCTGGCGCAGCTTAAGACCATGCCATCTTGCCTGGGAGAAGAGACCGACCCCCACCCGGCTACGACCTCTTTTCAGATAGTTTTAAAGAGTGATGAGATCTCCCCTGAGCCCCCTCTTCTCCAGGCTGAACAGCCCCAGCTTCTTCAGCTGCTCCTCATAGAGCCTGTGCTCCAGTCCCTTCACCAGCCTCGTTGGCCTTCTCTGGACCTGCTCCAGCATCTCGATGTCCTTCCTAAACTGAGGGGTGCAGAACTGGACACAGTACTCCAGATGTGGCCTCACCAATTCCAAGTAGAGGGAAAGAATCACTTCGCTGATCCAACTGGGTTCAGTATTCCTGATACAGGCCAGGATGCCATTGGCCTTCTTGGCCACCTGGGCACACTGCTGGCTCATGTTCAGCTTCCTGTTAATCAGAAAATGAGCTATGAGTGCTGCTGGGGTGCCAGAGGGTCCCTCAGCTGGCCACAAGGGACACTGAGGTGGTGATGGGAGCCTGGCTCACATGCTGTGCTTCTTTCCCCACAGATATGCAGTACGATGAGGACGATGATGAAATCACGCCCGACCTGTGGCAAGAAGCCTGCTGGATTGTCATTAGGTGACTGACTAAATCTCGCTGTTCTTTAACCCTTCAATGCATGTGCTCTCGGCCTCACAGGTGGTGTCTGCTTTGCTGGGGACACATCCTGAGAGCTGCAGGCTTGGTTATGCTGAATTGTGTGTTGTAGCACGTTCAGAGCAGAAGAGCTTTAAGCAAAAACAGAAAGGTTGTCATCAGGGATGAAGAACCCCCACTGATCTCTTGGCAGGGGGGACACTGTTTTCAATTAAGTAAGAGGTGGTTTTGGTTCCATATCAAGCACATGATTTTGTCCACTAATGGACACACAATTGTGATGGGACAGAAGCTGATGTAATGTAGGTTCCCTGGCACACTTCAGTAACACCTCACTGAGGTAGAGGAGCTTACTGGCAGGAGCTGCTGCATCAGACACGTTTAGTTAATCCCATCAGAAGTTAGGATGCAGGGCTTCAAATTTAGGCTTTGATTTTTAGTTAGGTTGTGCTGGGTTGAAGTTAGGTGACCCAAAGGCTAAGGGAAATCTGGAGAAGGACTGAAGCTGGAACAAGGGAGATCCAAGCCAAGAGAAGTTCTGAGAACTGTTACTTGGACTTAGGGGCATGCTCTCAGTTTACTGCAGCTTGGAAAATTAGTTAAAGCAAAATAATTTACAGACGTGGTTGGTAAAATTTTATCTGAAGCCGCTTTCACTGAGGTTTGTCGTCATAATTTAAGGTATACTGTGCGTGCAGTCATGGCCCAGCCAGGAGGTGGCAGCACATCTGTCACTTTGTAGTGTCTGTGTCTTCAAGCAGTGAGAGAATTGTTAAACATTTTTGAACATCTGTGTTTGAAACTCATGCCTTGGGATAAGTGAATGTGTTTGATTCTCTACTGCATTTCATGGCTTTTGTAGGTTTTGTTATAAATCTTAAGCTTGTTGATGTGTGAAATACTTGAATTAAATTAAGATTTCTTGTTCATTAATGTACTTTTTTTGGTTTTAGCTCCTACTTTGATGAAAAGGGTTTAGTCAGGCAACAGTTGGATTCTTTTGATGAGTTTATTCAGATGTCTGTGCAGAGAATTGTTGAAGACGCTCCACCAATTGATTTACAAGCTGAAGCCCAGCATGCCTCGGGAGAAGTGGAAGAGCCGGTAAGTGGAGAACCCCGGCAGAGATGATGTGTTTTTACAATCAAAATCATTTTACGTTGGATTTATTCAGGCCCTGTCTCAAGAGATGGAAGTACCTCTGAATCATGCTGCTCATGCAGTCAATAGGACAGAAGGATGAACTCTTTGGAGTCTGAGATATGTGGCTAAGTTGTCATACAATCAAGTATTTGACTGAGACACATGTGCAAGAGCTTTGTTATCTGTGGAATTGAACTTCCCTGTCGTATAGAGTTACTCTGTCCTGCTGGTTGAGAAGTGACCAAGAACAATTGGCTTCTGTAGCTCATATTGTCAGTTACTGTGCCAAACTGCATAAACAGAGACGTGGTAGAGCAAGTCAGGTAGCCAAAAGCAATTTTTGGTGGGATTTTGATTTTCAGTAGCTTTAGCATGGCAAGAAAGGTTTATGGCTGAAATATTCTGTTAGCTTTCTTCAGCTGAAGTTTAGGTCAGGGTTTTCAAAGGTTGCTACTAAGGGCCTCTCTTGAACAACCAAAATGGATTTTCTTCCATGACAACTAAGTGTATTCTTGTTTTCCAGCCCCGGTATCTGCTGAAGTTTGAACAAATCTATCTCTCCAAACCTACACATTGGGAAAGAGATGGAGCACCCTCACCAATGATGCCAAATGAAGCCAGACTGAGAAACCTCACGTAAGAACCAACTCTGGAGTGGATAAACACAAGAGAGAACTGCCTCTGCATTATTAATTGATAGTCTTTTTCAATATAGTAGTGCCTTGAAAATGTAATAATTACTCCTCTATTTAAAATTCCATGCCTAATTTTTAAGTCCAGACGATGATTATGATGTGGTAATAACGTGTAATATAGCAGTGAGCACTTGAATAACTACATTCACTGCTCAAGGTTGTACAGAACGGTAATAACTGACAGATAACGCAGTGTTGTTTTTACTCTGTAGGTATTCAGCCCCCTTGTATGTGGATATAACTAAAACAGTCATTAAAGAAGGGGAGGATCAATTACAGACACAACATCAGAAAACCTTTATAGGAAAAATTCCTATTATGTTACGTTCGACGTACTGTTTGTTGAATGGCTTAACTGACCGTGATCTTTGTGAACTGAATGAATGCCCGCTTGATCCTGGTGGCTACTTTATCATCAATGGATCAGAAAAGGTAAGGGGTTGTACCTTGCATAGATATCTTTACAGACACTGGAAGTTCTGTTGCTTGTTTCTGTATGATTTGCCAGGAGCAGAAGCACTTTTATTCCAGTGTATCAGTTACTGTGGGTGCTCCTGATCTTGCAGAAAGATGGGCTTTTAGTCCTCTATTAGGACTTTCTCAGGCTACCTATTCTTCTTCCCTGAGGCACGTTTCCCATCTTCAGTTCTTCCCTTCTTCAGCTGCATGAACTGTTTTGCACTGAACACCACTAAGTACTCTAGATATTTTCCTTTCCATTTCCAGCAATGCAGAGCAGCATGCACCTAAAATGAGGCACTTCTTCACTCTGAGTGTCCTGCAGGTTGTTCACAGCTATTATAAAATTAGATTCTTCCCTCCATTGCTGTGGATGCAGCTTCAGCAAATCGTATCATCTTCATGCTAGTGCCTCACCAGTGAAACTTGCCATATTTTGTAACTGTTACCTGAGTAAACACAACAAAAGTATTAGAATTTTATTTTTCTTCTTGGGGAAGAAAAAGAAATCAGTCTTTGATTGCTATAGTTGGCATTTAAATTTAAATGCCTGTGCAGTACCTCGACCTTGGAAAAATAGATAGTGAAATGCTTTCTTTATCAGTGTTGTGCCTAAAGCTAAACAGAAATGTCTCAGCACAGCCAACAGATACGGTAAGTACATCACAGAGAACAGTGTTCCCTGAGTCTCTTGTTTTGGTTATTCTGTCTTAACTAGCTGTATGTTTTGCTTAAATCTGAATTTTATAAAATGTAGAGTATAATCCAAACAAATCTGGCAGATTGACTTCATGCTGTGCAATGCTCTTACAGTTAAGGCACCTGAAGGAATAGTAGAAACACTGTGCTTGTTACTTTGAGCATGCTCTTTTGTCAGTTATTTACTAGTGTTCTTCTTTCTCACACAGGTTCTGATTGCTCAAGAGAAAATGGCTACAAACACAGTGTATGTGTTTGCAAAGAAAGATTCAAAGTATGCCTACACAGGAGAGTGTAGATCTTGTCTGGAAAATTCCTCTCGACCAACGAGTACTATATGGGTTAGCATGCTGGCCAGAGGTGGGCAGGTATGTCTGAGCAGTATGTCTGGTAAGCCCTAGGCCTTACCAGAGAGATTGTTTTAGGAGTTTTGTTACTGTCCTGTCTCTTTGTGTCATTTGCTTTTGGGATTCTGAGAAGAAATTTCTCCTGGTGCTAAATTGTAAAGAAGGCAAATTAAATGAAAGTGTATTCTGTTTGTCATACATTATGCCTGTCTTTATGATAAATTATTTGAGGATTGGAATGAGGACTCAATTTCTGGCAGGCTTTAGGGCAAGGCTAAAAATAGTTTTATAATTACTGTACATGAGTTTTTAGAAAATCTAAACAAGCTGTGTCCTGTTTTTTGACAAAGGAAAAAAATGGGAGCAGGGACCCTTTCTTTGCTGATAACCAAAA